GTTTTAGATTTTGTTAATTTACTAGTTATCTCTATCAACTAAATGTACTTATACACTTTTGGAAAATATAATCTACCGAATGTCTAATTCCTGAGAAATTGAAGAAATACCACAACGGTAGCTCTTTTTGGAGAACCGTAATACAGTTGTATTAGAATTTATACATTAGATATGTACATCGATGGAAATAGAGATCTTATTGAACCAAAGCTGATAATTAACATTTAAAGATTGTCTAATTGAACGTTAGATTCTGTTCCTAAGCTCTTCTATCAACGATCAGACTAAACCTGCACAACAACTTGAACACGAGAGAAAAGATGAAAAATATGAAAGAAACACTTTATTCCAATGTTCGTTTATGTACAGAAAATCTAGGGTATTTATAACATTTGAGATGACCATGGGCCTCTATAAAATGTTGAAACACTAGTAAACATTAAAGCAGTATAGGTGATCATCCAATCAGAAACTCGATGTGTAATCTTTCTCTTTCTAGATATTTCTGGCAAAACTTCTATTGAATGCTGATTGGATAAGATATTTCTCAGCATTTTCAGTTCCATTTTTTGGCATTTTTCGAGGAATTTCTCGGATCTCCCCCAACAGCTCAACGTATTTTCTGAAAATTTACAAGTTTATTGCATATTAGACTTAAATGTTGTTGGAATACTGCATAATTCATGCTAAGCATTGATTACTGAAATCAAGCATTTCAATCCTGAATAGATCCAATATAATTATTATCTTTATTAGAAGCATTAGTGTGACTTTTGAGCGACACTAAAGTAAACTTGAGTGTGTCCACCTAATTACTAGGACTAAATGAAGGTTATAAACTAGTGTCAGGAATTAGAATTATGATTTACAGTTGATAATTAAGGTTAGGAATTAGATATAGAGCTTTCTCTACGCACTGACATAAGCTATCATATCAAAACACTGTTTAGCTAAATGGATGAATGAATCTTGTGCTAAAATTCGTAACCAGTTAACTTATACCTGATTGATTCGTTCACAAATTATAATGTCGCTGTTTTTTCTTTAGTTGAATCATATGACATTTATTGTCAGTATTGGGGTTGTGGAGATTATTAAGTTTTTGATTGAGATCATGAATCGACTGATGTTAGACTAGCGTCGGAAACCTGGAAGCACTGGATGGCTGTTTTGTCCTAGTATGGGACTCCTCAGCAATGCGCATCCACGATCCTGCTCGCGAGATTCGCGCGAGACTGAAAGCTCTGGGTTTGAATTCCGCGAGCAGGATCGTGGATGCGCATTGCTAAGAAGTCTCATACTAGGACGAAACAGCCATCCAGTGCTTCCAGGTTTCCAACGGTGGTCTAACATGATCTCAATCAAGAAATTTATTGTGATTACGTGATAGTTGTGAGAGCTTTTCCATTAGGAATACATTACTGTTTCATAAAATCATTTTGTTATGGGATCGAGAATGATGAGTTGTTTGCTCAGTAAAACTATTAGATAATCTAACAAGTATTAGATGAGTTATTACTTACTTACTTTAGCCTGTTACTCCTCGTGAAGGAGCATAGGCCGCTCACCAGCATTCTCCATCTAACCCTGTCCTGGGCAATCCTTTCCAGCTCTTTCTAGTTTTTATTCATCCCTTTCATATCCGCTTCTATTTCCCGACGTAATGTGTTCTTTGGTTGTCCTCTTTTCCTCTTCTCTTCAGGATTCCAAGTTAGTGCTTGTCTCGTAATGCAGTTTGATGATTTCCTCAATGTATGTCCGATCTATTTCCATCGTCTTTTCCTAATTTCTTCTTCCGCTGGAAGCTGGTTGGTTCTCTCCCACAAAAGGCTGTTGCTGATGATATCTAGCCAATGGGTGTTGAGTATCATGCGTAGACAGCTATTAATAAATACCTGTACCTTCTTGATGATGGTTGTTGTAGTTCTCCAAGTTTCAGCTCCGTATAGTACAACTGTCTTGACATTGTTGCATTGTGTCGACTTGTTGTCGGTTAGTTTTAGTTTCGAATTAGATTTACATTCTATTCAGATTAATCACATCTTCTTGATCTAAATTGTGTTGAATTCCTGTAGAATAATTAAACATTCAGATGAAATCTAGTGTAGATATTTATCTCATTTGTGCAACAAAAAAAACGAAGGAAACTCCGATTGTTATCACACATTTATAAACTGATTCATTGTTATGAAACTATTGCATTTTCAAGTGTACTCAGGTCATATCTCTTATTGAAATAGACTAATAGAGAAGATGAGATAATTAGAGCATAACAAACATTTAGAGATATTACATTATTCTATAGATAAGCAAATGTTATGTATGCATTTCAATATTTGTATTTGTTTATATGGAATTCATTATTAACAATAAGTTAGATTGTCTGTTTCCTTATCTTTATCCGGGTTTGTATTTATATTTTAATAAGTTGGTAAAGATTTGAAGTGAGAATAATTGATATTCATTTGGTATTGTTTACTTGTATCTTCCTATTGTTATTGGTTTAGGATTGTAATTGATCAGTCTGTTGTTGGTAATTTGAAGTGAATGGTACTGAGTTCGAGTCCTAGAGTGAACATCAACTCTGGTATACCTAGCTAACAAGTCTCGAATTGGACGAAATGTACATCTTAGATTCCATTGCTGACCACTATCCATCTTTGTTTAAAGAGAATGATTTACATTCAGTCTTTAATTATTATCATATATGTACATCAGTGGAGTTTCGTAACTGGAGTAAATAGCTGTATAGTAGTGAATATTGTTCAGTGGTTGTCTAACTAGAAGTCTATGAATGATCAACTTTCACAGATCCATAATTTTCAAGAAATCAGTGTAATCAGTATAGTAATGCAGATGGAAGTTTAGTTGTCGCTCTAGTGGTAAAATCTCAGATGAAAACTGGGTGATACGGCATAAAGCAATGGACTGAACTGGTGGCCTGTGCTGTACCTTCCTTCTGTTGACAGATATAAGTAGAATTGTAGTGAACAGAACACGGGTGGGGACAATCGAATGTATTTAGGCACATAATTACAAAGCGTCTCAATAAAATCTGAGAACCATATATTAAATCAATAATTTGCAAAAAAGCAATCTATGATATAAGACTTGACTGTTCCTGTTGCAAACATCAATCCATTGTCTCAGATTTCATTATTTATGCGTTTTCATACAAATTGCATTGTGTTCCCGCTCTTCTTTTCTTGATCTTTCCCCATGTTCTGCTGCCAGACATTACGTTTCTAACTCGAGACATATACTACTTATGTCTACATAAGTAGCACACACCACAGTATGTAATGCCCATCGAAAGTGGAATGAATGTTAGTAGAAGATTGAGAACATTCAATCAAAAAGAACAAAAAGAGAAACAGAGAGAAATTGTAATAACAGTAGAATTGTATAAATTCTGATGCATGTAAAGGACAACTGAAGGCATATGTGCAAATAATGTATTTAATGTAGGGTTTTCACATTTTATGAAAGTATTCTGGGTTTCCCCATCTAAGTGTTTGTTCACTACAGGACAGCTAAGTTTCATTGATTGTATGAATATCTTATAAACGTAATTATTCAATTTAATATAAAATATGTCAGCAACTTCAGTAGTATGTAATAAACGCATACGTGTATTATGCAACCGACTAGGTGATGTTTTATGGTAAATTGTTTGGACATCTTGATTACATTAAGCTTGATTAAGCTATTATGATAGTATTGAGAGATCAGATTTTAATCAAAAATTGTTTTGTTCTAATATAATTTTGTCTGGTTAGCGTTTTTTTTTAGCGAGTTAGTTTTCTACGGGATGGGGTCGCTAACCCCATACCCAACCCTCCTACTTTATCCGGGCTTGGGACCGGCAGAATATAAGACTCATTAATAAGTTGAGCATCGGCTACTCTTCTTAAGGCTAAAACTGATCTTCTATAATCAAATGCTAAGCAAACTAACGAGATAATTATCGAATGTTATCATATGTTCACTAGTGATTGATTACTGGAGGTATTTGCAAGAGTTCTAGTAAGAAGCTGTAACCAGAGGAAGATAGTTACTCAATATAGAAAATTAACTGAAGGTAAGAATGTAAACTATTGTACTCCGATTTATTGATCAAAAAGTTAAGCACTCTCAACAAGACGTGAAGATAATGAATTCATTCTCTGATGAGGTTGTGGCAGATCACTTATAGGCAGTCCCATAATATGACGATATAGGTGTTCAATGCTTTATGTTTCTTACACACTCTCATTTTGAACTTTAATTAGAAATTAAATCTAAGTTAATAGACAAGTTAATCGATCTCAATAGCAGAACTATTGAAGTATATTGATTTCATTACTGAAAGAACAGAAAACATTTCTATCCAATCCTTCTTATGTTTAGTCTCTGATGACAACCTCCTTTGATATTCAGTAAATATCTTCATACATACTTAAATGAATCTATTTTCTCAGTTCAGTTGGAAACTATTCGATAAATATTGATTATTTTAGTAGTAGAATTCATGAGTTGATTCAAGCTAGATCATTATTGAAGACACTGAAGCACTGGACGTCCGTTTCATCCTAATGTGGAACTCTTCAACAATGCGCAGCCATGATCCTGTGTGTGAGATCACTCAAACCCAGGACCTTTGATCTTACGAGCAAATGTTTAACTTCGTAAACAACTGATCCGGCATTTAACGGTGTTAATATCTAACTTCAGTTGACCCATTATCATGTTCAACAGCTCATTTATTGTCTGAGGTAGATAACTGTCTCTATTTGACATAGATTGGACTTCATTGGTTACGGATTCTCACTAGAACTCCAGGAAATCTATCTTGAAGCTAGTTATTAGTGAGAACATAGGGATTGAAACAATCCATAAGGGATTATTACATCAAATGGTTATTCGTTGATTATGGTAATAAATAACAAACTGGTTAAAGGCTTTATTGAATTAATTGTACAGTATTTTGTATTTTTTTTGTTGTTGTTGGTATATTTCAGTTATATCATCTCCATAAATATACATTTTGAAGTACTTCATTTGTAAATTGGATGATAAAATATGCCTTCACCTACAACACAATCAGGTAAGTCTTACTTACTTGTTGCATAGTAACAGATCTACATGTTATGCAGTTTGATATATATATGTATTCTAGACAATTTCATATGTAGCATACATGTAAATCAGTTCTCATTACCGCATTAGATATCAATAGAGTGATAACGAACGAAAGTTAGGTGACTGGAAGTAATCATAGTGTCAGATGTAACAAATGAAATCTAAAGTGGGATTAACTAAATTATGTATCATGCACAATTATATAATGCCTTTGTAAAATATGAAAACAATACATTGAATACACCATATGTACATCTTCTTTAAGTTATCACTTACAAACTCTATTGTTCATTTGTTATTGTTGCTTTTTCGAACATCTTTGCTTTTCCTTCTCTTCCTTTTCATTCTCTTCTACTGACAGTAAGAATCGTATTTCTCCAGGTATACTACTTATACATATATATGTCCGTATATGTAGCACAAATATAACTATTTATTCAAGTAAACGCTTCTGCGATACTATCTTCAATCTCCAGTTAAATAACTCCAAAGTTTTAGAATACAGTTCACGACTAATGTATAACAAACCTTACATATATCATCAGTGTTATTCATTCAATAGTTATTGACTTCATGGAACACTACAATCAAAGTGATGGTTGAGCATACTTTCCAACCACTTCATTAAATGAATATCCACTAAATCAACTGATTGACAATCTTTATCTAATCTTGTTTGAAATTCATATGATATATATACATATGGCTGACGGCAGTCATTCAAAAGTTTCTTGCTAATTGATATACTATACTATGCCGTATCATCATCTCTCTTTAAAATGAATAGCAGATTTTTGAATATTTTTAAGTTGTGGTTACTGTAGACCGAAGGTCTTGGGTTCGAGTTCCATATGTGGGATCATGGATGAGTACTACTCTTAAGTCCCATCCTAGGACGAAACGATCATTCAATACTTCTGGGGTTTTAATCGTAGTCTAACACTGATCATCTATTCATGATATCAATCTATATATTTACTAGTCTTTCAGAATTATTTCATTTTACTAATCATAGAAAACTGATTATTTATTCTTTTCAAAACAATATTTCTTTTATACAATAAACAAACAAATTCCTAAAGCCAATGTCGATAATGGTTCGAAATGTGATGATGCATTGAATAATGGCAATGATATTGAATTCTTGAAAAAACATTTACCACATGTGGATATCGAAACTGGTTTAAAACATCGCAGTGAGTAATTAGTACTACTACTACTACTAATACTAATACTACTATTACTAATAATACTACCATTATTACTACTACTACTACTACTATCAGTAATGTAAATAATAATACTAGTGCTACTACCACTACTACAACAATACGACTACTAATACTGCTACTATTATTACTACTGCCAATACTACTACCACTACTACTACTACTACTATTATTATTATTATTATTATTATTATTACAATGCGACTACTAATACTACTACTATTACTACTGCTAATACTACTACTACTACTGCTACTACTACTACTACTACTACAATACGACTACTACTACTACAATGCGACTACTAATACTACTACTATTACTACTGCTAATACTACTACTACTACTACTACTACAATACGACTACTAATACTACTACTACTGCTAATACTACTACTACTGCTACTGCTACTACTATTACTACAATACGACTACTACTACTACTATTACTACTACTACTACTACTGCTACTACTACTACTACTACTACTACTACTACTACTATTAAGAAATAATGCTTACGAATCCTATTTTATCCTCAATCCGCATGTATGCATGCATTCTTATGTAAATCATTGCATGTAGATATGTATATATACTGATTATATAATAATGCCTACGCTTTTCCTCTAAATCTGATTCATTTTAATTCTTGATCGATAGATAAAAAAAGTGATTTATAGTTTTTTCCTTAAACTTTTAACTAATCAATAAATTAGATAATTGATTAATTTGTATTCTATATTGATTTTAATAATTGATTGACTACTAAATTATGATCAGTGATATGTTTGTTTAGGTTTTATTTTTAGTGTTAATCGGATCTTATTGCTTAAATTTAAATGTAATTTTAATGGTTGAGATCATGAGTCAATTGAAGCTAGATTATCATGAAAAACCTGGAAGCACTGGACGACTATTTCGTCTTATTGTGGAACTCCTCAGTGGTGTGCATTCATGATCATGCCTCGCGAGATTCGAACCAAGGACCTATCATTCTCGCACGCGAATGTTTAACCTCTAGATGATTGAGCTGGTATGCAATGGTGTTAATGTCTGACTTCAACCAATCGAAAAAATTGCGTCACCATTGTTTTCAGTGAGTTACAATCTCACACCATACCCGTTTGAACTCCACTGATCACTGATTCCCACTAGAACTCCAGGATATTCCTCTTGGTGGTCTAGCTTCAATTGACTCATGATCTCAACCATTTAAGTTACTATAATATCCACAATCCTATTCTGATAACAAATTTAAATGTGATCACATAATCTGGTATTCTATGGTCAGTGATAGTCAACAGGGAATTCGGGACCTATTATTTGACATTCGTCAGCAAAATGTACTTTTAATCTTGAGGAATTGGTTTTCTTTAGTTGTACAGCTTATTGAAGAATGTCAAATAACATTAAATTTAGGTTCAGAGTTTCATCTTTATTGATACGAGCATATTAACTTATAGTGACTTTGTTTAGAAAGTCGCTGAAATCTAGGAGCCTGTAAACAGTGAGATCTTAACTATTACACAAATGAGCTGGAATAAAACGATTTATATTTCTTATTTCAATCAATTCATAATAATAAGTGAGTATCATCCATTAACTTTTATCATATTTTTCTAAATTTCGATATAAGTTGAACTCCACTAGTCATCACTTCTATTTAAACTCTAAATTCTTCTTAGTGCAGATCGAATCCTATCGACCAAGTTACAATGTGGTCATTAGTCTAGGTGACTCAACATTGCGTGAACTATGTTTAGATAAGATGGTAAGTGATGGATAGCTCAGTAGTTACGTCTCCAACTTTGAAGCTGGGTGAGAATCAGTTCCCTCAAGAATAATACAGGTATACCTTACTGACGAGTGCCAAGTAACACAAAACCCGGGTCCAGGGTTTCCTACTGACTACCTCCAATTACCATCTTGAGTAAATATTAGACATCAAATATGTATCATCAATAATAGTGATTAATGACAGAAGAATATCATAAACTGGATTTCAGATTATTGAACTAAAAGTAATTTCCTCATTATAAAATCGAAATGTCCAAAATTGAAACATCAAGCACTCACTATTGAAGTCTCAAATATCTAATAAATTAATCTTGATCCATTCATTTATCATTTCAAAAAAAAGGATTTTAATAGTTCATTCGGTCAAATCGTTTTATCCACAGATCTTATTTGACTGATGATCATGATGATCATAATCATAATCATGACCATTTATTTAACTTACTTGCCCCCCCCCCTTTATAAATATTTAACCCTTAGAAACTGATTTATTTCTAATACAAAACAATGAAACTATTTGTAAAGAAGTGATTTATCCTTTTATTTTAACTGTAAGCTCTTCTTTAATACTTCTGTTTTATGGTCGAATTTATGTAGTTTACGTGGGATTGATTAGAGGGAAAGAATGGGTTGTTCTACTTAAAATTAAAGATAAAGTGTTAATGTTCATAGGTTATGTGCAAGATCTTAAATTATTAATGAAATGTAAGTTATTTTGTGTAAGCCTCCAAATATCCTGGTACAGGAGAGATTTGGGAAAGTTAGCGCTTTCTCTCTCCAAATACTCTCACATAGCCACCACCAGGGAAGTCTTACTCACTGTCTTCTCTCTGCGGGGGTGTTGTTTACGAAGTTGAGAGAACGAAAAATGGATGTTCGGTGCTTAAACCGAGTCTGTGGAAAAGGAGATTCCATCTTAGAGAGTTGGAAGATCCTCACTCTGAACCAATAGTGTAGATGGGCTGCAGGATCCTGAGGAAACAAATGGCGTATAGACCAATCGTTGGTCATTGGCTACTATGGGACTGAATCTTCTGACATAGTTTCACTGCCTTGCGGATCAGACCTTTAGGTTGAAGGCAACGGGTGTGGTTCCATAAGAGAAGCGCCTATTTCTGTCTGGGCACCTGAGCGGTATCCTAGCCCTCTCACAAATAAAATGGAATTTGTGTGGCGCATATGTATCTGGTGCCATTTTTTACCAATATTTATGTTTTCAAATAAATAAATAAGCTCCAAACATTCTGGTATTGATTCCTAGACGAATTATAGTCACACAATATAGAGTTTTATAATGAAATTAAGCAGTTCTTCAGTACTCTATAGCTTCTCACTCAATGTTTGATGTTTAGAGGTAGGTTATAGAAAGTCCTGAATTTCTGTTTTTGTGGTAGTTGGCCTTCGTCAGTATAACATATGTTATGTGGAGTCATTTAAACAAGTCGTCACATTGCAACTTGATACATAGGATGCCAACAGTACTAAAGGACTATATGAACGTCACATTAGTCATTAGTCAGTGATTAATCAATTGTTAATGTTCCATCTATACACGAGGTCTGTCGAGACTGGAGACTTTCAGCGATAATGTCTCAGATTATGAAGCTGAGTGATTAAGGTTCAAATCCCACGATAAGATTCTTTTGAAGTATTGAAATATAAGTTACAGAGCCTAATCACCTGGTTATATTTAACCACCTAGTCCTGGTATGCTCTAATATATCCTAGTATTATTCTCTGGAGAATTTCACATTGAAACACAGCATCTTTGACGGAGTTTTGTTCTTTGAGCTGTATGGGTTGTTTGTGTAGGTTTTATCGTCATTCTGGACGATATCGTCAGCAGAAACCTCAGGTAGTTTAAAGTTTGCGCTGATGATATCGTCCAAGATGAGGATGAAACCTCCACAACTAACCCATCCAGCTCAGAGAATAAAACTCCATCATAATCATCCACGTAAGCCATAAATCTTTCTCACCATCACAACATATCTCTATATAAATGGTAGACAGGATATATACATGATTAATTGTGTCAATCATTAATGTATTGTGTATAGATATTCTTTACTAAAGTAAATGATCCAAACAAACAAACAAATAACTCGGTAACAAAATTTATGAAAAAGTTTTTATCAGTTAACATATTAAACATAGGAAGTAGTTCAGTATGGGAAATGAACTTTCCGCCTGTTTTACTTGATCTCTACTCACGTATAACTACGGTTAAATGACCTGAATGAAATAACACTTAGTTGTATATGTATATAGTGATAGAAATGGGTATGAATTTATGCAAGACTAAATTCACCGGTTTGACATATATATTCTAAATACTTACTCATTCACTTACCTACGCCTTTTAACCCCTATCGAGGAACAAAGTCCACCCATCAACATTCGCTATCCAACTCTTTCCAGCTCTTTCCAGTTGCTATTCAACCTTTCAATGTCTACTTTTAATTCCCGATTCAGTGTGTTATATGGTATTTCTCTTTTTCGTTTTCCTTCAGGATTCCAAGTTAGAGCTTGTCTCGTGTTGCAGTTTGATGCGTTCTGCAACGTATGTCCTAATCATTTCCATTGTCTTATCCTAACTTCCTCCTCAGTAGGAAGCTGGTTTTTTCTCTTCCATAGTAGGTTGCTGGTTATGTTTTCCGGCCAACGGACATTGAGTAGACAAATGTTTACAAATACTTGCTCATTTTTTGATGATGATTGTAGTAGTTCTCCACGTTTCAGTTCCGTACAGTAGGACTGTTCCACATAATTTAGAGATCTTGAAACTGAATTTCAACTCGATTATAATGTTCATTTAGAGTAAATGTTTACAGTTCCTTTCAAACTTTTAATCTGATAGTATAATGAACGAACAGTTAGATGGAGACGATCAATATATATTATTGAATACAACATTACAGAATATCTTGGTAAAATATAAGAACCATACATTAAATACTTCATTTGTGATTCTTTCAACAATCGTTCTTCATATTTTATATGATTCTTCCAATTCACAATTCCTTTGTATTTCTCTTTCTGTTTTCTTCGACTCGATCTTCTTTGTCTTCTACTGCTAGGCATTCCACTTCTGATTGATGTTACCTGCTACTTGTATCGACAGACATAAGTAGGAAGCACTACGTATATACCTAGACTTATTCACAC